GCACTTAATTTTATCCTGAACGTTTTGCATTCGATGCCGAATTGAATCATGGATGCGCACAGGTGAGAAAACCCATTCTAGTATTGAATGATTACCTAGTGTTTCGTAGTTTCTAGTGTTTATTTAATCAATTTTGGTTGCTGATTTGAAATTTAAAACCGAACAATATCCACAATACTTTAGGATAAAAAACTGTCCACTTCACTCGATGTTTGATACAACAGGCACTGAACTTGAATCTCGTTAGTAACATCAATACATTAATCTAGACCCTTCCAGTTAATTAATTTTAATTAAAACGTAAAGAGAATACGCTTTAAATTCTTATTCTACTAGCCAATACCAAGTATTATATGTTTGTAGTCGTAAATAATATAGCTATAATAATAAAATGGGACCTTTATTAAATTTGTACAAATTAAATTAGCAATCAGCTTCCAGCTGAAGAGGAAATTAGGAAAAGACGATGAAAGTGGATAGGACATACATTACAGAAATCACCAAAATGCATCACGAGACAAGCGCTAACTTGTAATCCTGGATGGAAACGGACAAGTAGAAGGAGAAAGAGTACATTATTTAGGGTATTGGGAGCAGACATGAATGAATAGTAATTTGAAACAACTGGGAAAGATAGGCCACGACAGAGTTGAATGAAGAATGTTGGTGAGTGACCTATTCTCCTCCGCGATGGGTAATAGATGTAAGTGAGTGGGTAAATTAGAGATAGTTATATGATTTTATTTATCTGAACCGTAAAGTGTATTCTTTAACAGTTGCCTTATCCGGTAGATGACAAGTAAAATCTTTTTTCTTAACCTACCTAGCTGTCTATCGATTCAATTAATTTACTCCTGTGAAATAGGCTGTATTGACTGTAAAAACAGAGTTTTTTTTAAACATATCAGAGTACTAAGCGACATGTTTGTCCAAAAGTGAATGGAAATCAGTGAGTTTTATTGCTGAGCATCTGATTACTTTCGGCAATCTATCTCAACTAGAATGTTCAGTCAAATTTATCCACGAAGTCAAACGGGTCGTCTCTAAAGGTGAGGAATTTGTGCATAGAGGTAGAGTACGATAATTTATCCGTTAAATTTTTGTCCTTGAATCGTAGCTTAATAATCACTGTGTGACATTTTAGCCACGTGTGTTATTCAATGTTAGCTAGAGATGTTCCATCTAAAATTCTCTTGAAATATCATTAAACATTAAGGTTTCGTCATTATTTCCAAGTCGTATTATTAATTTTCAAATTAAAAACATGATAATTTCATAATTTACATAACAGACTGATCTCAGATGGAGAACAAAAAACAAGGGAACACAAAAAGTAATGTTACGCCCTAGAATAAGACTCCTCAGTAGTGTGTATTCACAGACCCACCGAGTTTTGAACTAAAACTCTACTAGTCTCACTGTGAACATTAAACTCACATATCACTAGGTTTTCAACTAATAATTTACGCTGTCTAGCTGTAATCGATTGATGAAGGTGTATAACTATCTTCCAACATCATTTGGTAAGTACCTACTTTACATTTAAAGTGGTTGAACTCAACTAATCAGGGAATCTCACGACGATATATATATATATATATATATATATATATATATATATATATATATATATATATTCTGACCTAGTGAGAGGTATTTAGGCTGAGATCTTGACTAGGAATATAATCGACTACCTTCAGTAGCATGTTACACTTGTAATTTATCGTTTACTGATCTCCCTTGGGATCACATTTAAGCACAAGTACATACTATGTCGAGATTCACCAAGCTTAGTACAAAACTCCTTAATAGTAAGAAAGTTATGACTGATGACACTATCATTCTCTATATTATCAACTGTTTATAGTTAGAATTGTTGACCACGAAGATTCTTATTAACTAATCTGATTGATGAAGAATTATCTATAAGATCTCAGGGTTTAGGTAAAAGTGCATTTCTGAGAACTCTTATAGGAGATTAAGACAGATAACAATTACTTCGACTTGTATTAATCAGTGACCATCAGTGCTTGAAGTCACTGACTTCTAGTCTAAGCCGTGTTGGTAGATGCAGACTACTTTGGTTAGGGTCCGCGGGACTATCGTAACCAATGGTTGGAGACTCTAGGTGACATGGCTCAGAATCGATCACAATGGCGCAGGTGTATACACTCTTCCCTTAAACCTTGAGATTAAAATTGCTTCATAACGTTCTTCCTTCCTATACTATAACCTTATATACAACCTATCTTTTATATACTACCACCACTAAATTCACTATTTCTAAGAATCCGGTGTTTATCTTGTTGTGCTAACGAGATATGGCAACTTGGACCGATGCATATGTGTACCTGGTCCTACGTTGTAGCTGACTGACTGACTGAATTAGTGACTAACATCACCCATAAATTAAGAAATCATGTAAAAACAACACTGAATATGATAAAGTCCTGAATATGTACATATACGTGAACTCATTAACCAGTTATTTATATACTCTAGTTAGAAAGGTAATTTATGTAGATTTCATCAACATATTTAATCTTATCAAAACAATATCATAAATATCTTATTCCATTTCAAAATATTGAATAAATAAATGTAGGTAGATGGTGTTTTGGATTCAATTAATCTAATTGATGCATATTAATGAGATAATTTAGTTTTTCAATATTATAATGGATAATGTTGTGTGTTAGATGCTGTTCTTTTCTTTCTTTTCCTTCTCTCTCTCCCTATTTGAAAGATAAGTTATTTTTAGAAGGGATTATAATTATATGGTCACTAGTGACTGACTTCAAGAGATCATTCCTGGAGTTCTAGTGAGAAGCAGTGACCAGTGGAGTTCAAACTACGTGTGTTGTGAGATATCAGTGAACGGTTGCTCAACTTCGTGGATTAGATGAAGTTAGACATAAACACCGTTAGATACCGGCCAGCTCAGTGGTCTGGAGGTTAAGCGCTCGCGCGCGAGACTGTTAGGTCTTGTGTTTGAATCTCGTGAGGCGGGATCGTGGATGTGCACTGCCACTGAGGAGTCCCAAAGTGGGACGAAACGGCCGTTCAGTGCTTCCTTTTTTCCATGATGGTCTAGCTTCAATTGACTCATGCTTTCAACTATGCAAATAAGTTATTTTATTTTTCAACTAATCTGATCATTTTCAGATGATAATAACATTATCTCCTTCTTTTTTTTTCTTTATAGCCAAAGGCAACAAACCGCAGCTGTTAACATTAAATTTCAACATTTATTGCAACAGTTTATTAAAAATAAAAGAGTATTTATAGATAAAAGCAGTTATATTCTGAGAATAGATTACATAAGTTATCAAGGAAATATCCTTGAAAAAGCTTGAACCAGATTGCCAGGCGAAATGTCGGATTTACTTCAAATTCCAATGTGTTACATCAACTCGGCGCTCAAATACTGTTAAACTATTCGCTCTAATTTAGACGAAAGTTCTTGTACAAGTTATTTATTATTGATTTCTTTTTTCTCTCTTTTTAGGATAATCTTGTACACAGTTAGCACTACAGATTAATGTTAGTTCGGCAGTTATTGTAAACGAAAAAGAAACTATACAACTGTTTCGTTCTAGTATAAGACTATTCAACAATAGACGGCTACAATCTAACTAAGGTATGAATTAAAGATAGTTAGATCTCGTGGCGAACACCTAATCTTTCAAATACTGAATTCATATCCAGCAATTGTGTGTCTAATATTTATTTACTATTTCAAGTTATATTTAAATATATTTACTCCTTTATCAAACAGTTTTTTTTTGTTTTAATAAAACAATTTATATTACTAATCAGTTGTTTCATCACTGGTGTCTACTTATCAGCAAGGTATGACATTGACAGTCTAGTGCTTCCATGTTTTTCATGGTGGTCTAGCTTTAAACGACTAATGAATTCAACCATTAAATCTGTAAATAACCAACACAGAACAATGTTACTCACATCTGTGAATTATATCGTTTCTTCTAAATCATCTAATTACATAGAAAACTGCAACTAATTAGTGTACTATTAGACTACTAGAAAAAAACTTTGAAATGAAAATTGAATATTGAACTACAAAAGAAAGTAAACAAACATTGAAAGGCAAATTACAATAACAAGGAACATCTTATTACTGATGTAACTATCTTACTAGTAAATACTAATCGATACTTAACGTAATTTTATATCATGAATCTTAGCATTGCTGAGAAGTCCCATACTAGGACGAAACGGTAGTTCATAGCCTCTACCTTTTAAATGGTAGTCTAACACTGATTAGTTCATGATTTCAATGAAATTGACCAATCGCCGCAACAATAAGTAAATGAAGTTCATCTGGTCTCATCGTTCTATCAAAGGGATTATTCGCTTTAACTCTGCATAACCTCAAAATGATAATTTTAGTAAAACAACGATTACCAATCAAAAACAAATAGAGACTTCTACCCAAAGTTTGCGTTGATGATGTCGTTCAGAAGGACGATGAAAGCTCCACTATCAAACCATCCAACTCAGACAACAAAACTCCATCCAAATCACCCACCTGAGCTACAAATCTTCTCCACCATCTCAGAGTTATATAGTTTATATCAATGACCTAAATAGGAATCGAATCTAGGATAATCAGAACTTGTTATTGAAAAACTAACTTTTAAACCTATAAATTGTTTATCTACATTACATCTCATTTTAACTTCAATGTTAGAAATGAAGGAAAGAAAATTATATTTTCATTACAGATTTTTCGTTCACTATTCATATCAGTATTAAATGCTGGTAAGAAAATCAGAATTTCACGTGTAAACATTGTAATTTATCTAATTTCTATAGGATAATTTGGTCAATATGGTAGTGAAATTCTCTCCCCCTGAAGAAAAATTTTTTTTTTTAATTTTTCATAAATAATTTTTTTGCGAAGTTCTGATTGGTTAAATGTTTTATTATTTGCTTCAACATAACGAACCAATCACAGTTGAATGTTAGACACACGTGGACAGAAAAATAGACAATATTGAAAAACAAAACTTAATTTAAAGTCATAAATTCAATGAAAAGGGATTATTTACTGTTGTCTTCAAGTAAACATAACAACGAATTCTAGTAGAATGATACAGGAGTGTAATAAAGTGAAACCAGCAAGATGTTTGTTTCAATCATTGGAAAATAAACTATGGAATAGTTCATACAATTTGGATAATAATAATAATAATAATAACACAGATCAAACAAAACCACATATCAATCAACAATGCCAACAAACATTTAATTTAATCTGTCAAAAAAGTCTTGAAAAGTTTTGTCGGAATTATGATTTAGATTTGAATCAAATGAAACCTGTTGTTGATCCGAACAATTGTAAAATTAATGAAGGTGATCAAGAAAATCAACGTCATCACCGAAATCAGCACACAAGACATAAACAAATATGGCATTGGGAACAGTTGGATACTACAGTCAATTATGTCCCCACATTTTATTTGAACAACAGATGTCATTCAGATAGTTATCTACTTCGATCGTATCAACATGAATATCCGGTACCACCGAATACACCACATAAATGCACTACAAAATCATCGAAGTTACAATTTACCGACAATAAATACAATTCACCTATTTCGTTCACATTGCAAATGTCACATCACTCATCTCACCACACATCATCTCCGGTATCGACCACTCAACCAGTTACAACTTCATTTCGTGTGTGCCGTACTCGAAGTAGGAATTCATCAAACAGCACAGTATCATCCGGTAAAACTTCCAAGTATTTGTATGCTGAACATATACGCAGTAAAAGTGAGGGGAAGGATACTGATCCCATACGCAACTCACATCTCAATGAGCGTGCGAAATGCAGTGTTTGTATTGATTCGACTTATCGTTCTTCTGAAGTTTCATACAAATTATCAAGTTATTCGTCTTCCAATATTGCATGTTCAAAGAGTGTGAATTGTGTTGAGGAATGGGAAAATATTCTATACTATAAGAAAGAAGTGTCTCCCTGTCCACCATCCACATCGAACAAATATAGTTTGAAACAAACAAAACTGACTGGTAAGTTGACATACAGTTATTGTACGTTTCCAATATTGTTGATTGACCGGATGCAACTTTTTTTCATATCGGTCTCTTTCCAGAGTTGAAATTCCACAATGAATAATTAGTTCTATCCATATTAAGATAGCAAACCGACTGAAGTTTATTGTCATGGAGAAGACTGTGTAGAATCAAATTAAATCTGTCTTCAAGTTTTAATAATATTGTAGAAAATTTGTGGTTTTATTTCATATCATTCGTAACTATTGAATAAATAGGTGTACAAGATGCGGTAGTGCGATACCTCTAAAATTGGTTTATCACTACAAACAGAACATTTATCAATGCAATTGTCTATTTCCACTTCTGGTAATAATGAATAATTCTTTGCGTTACTCGAACTATCAACAAGTGATTTTCGAATCAGACATTGTAAACATCTGATCGCCAAGTAAAACAGCTCGGTGGTAACATTTCTGATTTCGATATTTTATTAAACTAAAGCTAACCCAACAGGGAATGTTGCTTTTTTCAAGATTGCAAATAAATCTCATTGATATATACCAGTTAACAGGGTCTTCAATCATGTGATAACCAAAATAAACTGGATAGTAATTCCATTCTATCTTAAAGAAGCATAAATAGTGTAAGTACATAACTATAATCGAGATCCAAAGAACGATAAAAATGATAAGAATAATATGACTGAGTTTAATTTAATTTACAAATAATATTTTTCAACATGGGTTTATGGAGATTGTTGAATTTCATTGAAATCATACACCGATCAATGCTAGACCACCATCGAAAAGTTGGAAGAACTGGATGGCCGTTTCGTCCTAGTGTGGGATTGCTCAGAAGTGCGCATCCACGATCTCGCACGCAGGGCTCGAACCCAGCACTCTCAGTCCCCCACACGGACGCTGGATGTCCAAACCACTGAGCCGGCATCCGACGGTGATTCGGATATATATACCAAATATTAGGATATATATTAATTTCAATCATATAATAAGTTAAAACCAATTAACATATGGGTTCATTTTTTATTAACATTGTCTATGTTTAATACTACTAAATTCTCTTAGGTGCAGGATATAGTTGAAAAGTATTTATTGTTGTTTCGGAAATAATAATGTTCACATTTCAGTCAATCCATAATGGTTTAATCAGTTCATTCAGATAGCCATGTCTATGGCTGGTTAGTTCCATAACTTTATTTGTCCTCATAATCCTACTGACTATCTCATTCTTACTTACTTACGTCTGTTACACCTTGTAGAAGAGCATAGACAGCCTATCAGAATTCTACATTGAACTCTGTCCCGAACAATCCTTTGCAGTTGTTACCAGTTACTAAGATGGAGTTAGTAACCTTATCCTGTAAAAAACAAACTTGTTAAAAAACACTAAATATCTCATTCATCTTAACTATAATTATATGGTTGATTAACCTTCTCTGTATGAGTTTACAGGTTAGTTATATGCCTACAAATCTGTTGATCCAAATGTAATAATTCCAGACATACTTTATTATTTTTAAAATTTCTCAACCGTACTTATATTTATCAGAAGGACAAAACGGCTGTCCAGTGCTTCCAGATTTTCCCTGGTGGTCTAGCTTCAATTGTCTCATGCTTTCAACTATGAAAAAACTTTTATTTATCATATTTTGCTACGTCATTGTTTATGCTTATGATTAGATGAATGATCAAATAGATTTTTATATATATATATATTACTTTCTTGTTCCATTTATAGATATGTTCCCTGTTAACAAACCTATCAAATCCTGTACATTGTGTACAAATTGATGATTATCCCTGAAATTGAACATTTTGTGATAGAAATATTATTCTCTTCTTTTCAACACATGTACTAAATCTCTACAAAAACCCCCTTCTGGCATGTATATATGTTTGTATATATATAAATATTCATTACAGTATGTTAACCAATTTTGGTAAGTAACTAAATAACTGATTGGTAGTTTTATTTAATAAATGTATACAATTCGATTATTCATTCATCCTCTATTGCCAAACATATAATCGAAACAGGTCATAAGATTGGTCCTAACTCGGTTTTTGTAGTGTCGTATAAAAGTGCAAAAGGGAGTATACTATGATTTTTTTGAAGCCTTAGCCATACGAAAATTCAAACCCCGTTTTGTGTATTCAAAAAACAGTTTGTTCTCACCTTAAACCTACCCCGGTAATATTAGCTTATTATCCAGAGTGATTAGGTGTCAAATTGCTTTCACATTAAAATTAAAACACGAAGTTCAGCGAAAGATCTTTTTTCAACGAATTTATTATCAAGCTGTACATTCGTATATATATATATAGTTAATTCACCATAGTTTGGAGCTCTACGGTAATGGATTTATGCAATCCCACTGGATGGAAAAGGAAATGGATCCAAGACCCGTAGATCTTACACCAAGTGTTAAGTCAGTAAAGCTACTGAATGGTAGCTTAATAGTATGATTCTGACTTCAGTTAGTTCGTGATATTGAGTAGTTATTATTATTCAATTTCAGCAATGGGAAACTGCCGACCAAGTTTCTGCTCTTTACTAATTGTTTAATCAAGTTCAGCTCCATTGTGTAAACTACAAGACTGATAATCAATTGAACTGAAAAGAAGAATATCCACATTCGATGCGTTAAAAGCTAAATACATCTAGCTTGTTTATATTTTTAGCTAGATATAATGACATAACAAATCGAACATAAGTAGTTAGTTTCATAATTTTTATTATAAACCGACCTGGATTGAATAAGTTTTAGGGTCATGAATGAGTACTGATGTAGTTCCTGTACTGATAATGTACCATACAACACTATTTTATACTACATCTCTTGCTCTTTATTAACTATTTAGTTAAAATTAGACAATGATTTAAACTATAAAATTCAACAATCTACACAGGTCGCTCTAAAGTCATGGATCGTATATCTTCTCTTAACTTTATGATATCCATACTTGCATTCATCATTTACTGAGTAGTAATCAAATCTAGCAAATAAGATTGATCCCCTCGAGGTTATAGGCATACTTTGTTAATAAATAATAATTAGCATGAAATCGAAATTGACTAGGGTCACCTGTCATCGATACTTAACTATCTAATATCAATTCATATATATTTTATACACTGTTTGTTTTCTCTAATTTAATTTATTTGAAAAGTAATTTGTTCCTCTCTACTTTTGTTTTCTCTTAATTCTTTTGTAGAACCGAATTGTACAAAGCAAAGAAACAGTCTGCCTGCTTAGCCGATTGATCGTTCATTTATTTCCTTTTTTTTTTTACCTGATAGTAGGTTACAACATTCATTACATCTTATGTATTCAGTGTTCATAACACAGATGATTTGGAGGAATATTCTATTCTCCTAACTAAAAAACCATTTGGGTTCTGTTTCATACACACACACATACACACATAAAATACAAAATTTTTTTATAATAGTTGCTAATCTTTTTAATACCGATAATTTTCTATTTTTAAATTGTGATTAAATCAATAAAATTTACCTTATACTATACTACTTCTTTTTTGAAAAGAAACACCTACAAGTAGTATATAACTCAGGTCGCGAATTTATTTGGTTAGAAAATGTTTCGTTAATAATAAATGAATTGATCGATAGAAATTGATCATCATAAAAGAAGGCTAGATGAATATCACATTGGTCACTCATTACTCAGTGATTTATCAGTTGTAAATATTTTAATCATGAAGCAGATTAGCAACTGTCGGAATAGCTCTATAGTGATGTAATAAACTATGTAGTTGCATGAAATAGGCTCGAATCGACCAGGAAATATTAGTTCTCTTTGAAATTACATATACAATTTGTTGAAAATTGATATCAATATGTTCAGGGTCACCTTGTGAATACCTCTAACTAAGTATAAATATTGCATTTGTAAACAAGTTTTACTTGTGTTTGATTATATATGAAGAAATATGATGATGTTGATATGTGTGCTCATTCGCATACATAACTAACGCATCCACTGATTATTTTCAAAAATTTATCTCATGTGAAGAAAGTGTTCATTTCGAAATGAAGATACTTGATGAATATTGTCTAAACAAAAATAGGAATCATCGATTAATTATATCAGAATATTGTAAGGATACTCAGAATTGTTCATTTACAACATCGTGTTGGATTGGAATCTGCATTTCCAGGTCTCATTGGCGTTCTCGATAACTTTTGACGATTAGAATATGGGACTTAAATGCATCGGCTCAACATGTAAAACCATATCAACACGTTGAGATGAAATAACTTAATTATTCCAATCATTGGTCATAATAATTACGTCGACCTCTAATCAGATAGTCTACACCTACTTAAATGACTCAAGCCGACAATTAATTACTTTCTGCATTAATTCTATGTCTTCGACAAATTATATAATGCAAATTCATTGTTACATCTGCTTTAGAGTACAATATTAAGATCATCATCATTTGGGGTAGTTTTATAATTCATATTTTTGGTGTATGATCATCATCCAAAAATAAATAATATGATATCAGTTCAGCATGACTGACTGATGTAAGTTGTAACGTAGTATACATTTTATGAAATATGTTGAAACTATGTTGAAATTATTAGAAGGCAGTTATCGTCAGTGATTAACGTCAGTACAGCTAACAGTGACAATGATACACTTGAACTACCTGGATGAAATATTTACAAATTCGTTATTACATTACTACATCACATAAGTGAACCATTATGGAAAATTATAGTTCAACAGATCAAGATAGTTTTAATCTCATAGCAATAGTAATAGTAATAATAAACAATCTGTACAAATTTACTTAGACTCACATTAATACTTAGTGTATTTAGTATGTGAATAACAGTAGGATCCAGAACATTGGTTTCTTCCTATATGGAATTTGCTAGCTGAATTTATCCGAATCACAGTGTTTACGTCCATACCTTTTGATTCATAAGATCAACAATGTATTCCCTGAATACCGATAACACTTAATAAAACTTTCAAACCAGTTGAACAAGTTAGTGGTTATCGTCACCAAGCAGTTCAGTTGATAAGGTGTTTACATTTGAAGTGATAGGTATTGGGTTTGAGTCTCAGTGTGAGAATCAACATTTGGGACATGGATAAAGTCAGTCCCAAATAAGATAAAATTCATGTCATAGATTTCACTGCTAGCTATATACCAAATATTACTAAAATTTGTGACATAACACTGTTTGCAAACCAACTCATTCAAGATGCATATACAACAACAAAGATTGATCAACCACAGTCAACAACAGGGAAAATTTCAATAAATGATTATAGAAGATATTAATTTCTTTCAATAATTTCAGATATTGTATATGCATTGTACACTGAATTACAAATTTTTCACAGTTGAAAGCGTGATTCAATTGAAGCTAGACCACCAGAGAAAAAAGGCAACACTGGACGGCCGTTTCGTCCTGTTGTAGGACCCCTCAGCAGTGCGCATCCAAGACCTCGCCTCTCGAGATTCGAAACCAGGACCTACCAGTCTCGCGCCAGAGCACTTAACCGATAGACCACTGAGCTGGCCGGCATCCAACGGTGTTAATGTCTAACTCCAACCAATCCACGAAGTTGAGCAACCATTCACCGATTGTCTTCAGTGAGTTGATATCTCACAACTCCACCGGTCACTGCTTCTCACTAGAACTCCTGGATTTACCTCTCGAAGTCATTCACTAGTGAGCATATGATTATTATTATGATCAGAAGGGGTTTTTTGTGGAGATGTAGTATTTTCATAAGTTTTTACTAATCTACAAAAATGTATTTAACATGGTTGGTATAAAATCATCAATTGAATGTGTAAATCACATCAAATATAGAAATAAAAATGATATATTATGTGTATACATAAATAATCTTTAGGACATTTATTAATATGCTTTTTTTCCTATTTAATATAAGAAAAAGCAAGAATAATTTATTAAACTTTTCTGTATTACATTATTAATTATAATAAATTGTAAATAGGAATCTCCCATGAAAAGAAAAAGGACCCCTTAGTAGTGTATTTTACCACCACCACCATACACCTATCTATCTATCTATCTATTCACACAGGGAAGTTATATATATATATATATATATATATATATATATATATATATACACGTGTATAAACCTGCTAGTAAAAATGATATGTATACATTTATAGGTTGGGGGATTAAATGTAACAGTTGATGTTAAAAGGAATGATTATAATAACTCTGGTAGTTTTTGTTTTGTTTAAAAATATGAGAAGGGGGAGGGAAATAAATTTCACATGAAGCAAATATTATAAACAATTTTTTTGGTATACGCCACACCCCCTACAAAATGTGTGCACAATATGTATGTACATAAATATATTTACATATTCACAGATAAACACGAAGGGATAGTAGGATAGATTACGGATAGACAGACAGACACACTAAACTAATCTGTATTAAATGTTAGATAGATCTGGCTGACAAACAGCATAAAATAGAAATGAAATGAGTTGTGATATAGATATTTATTAATTCTATTATGTTTTATTAAGTATGAAAAATGAACGAATAATGCAAACAATTTTTCATGCTCGTTTGTAAGTCAATAAACAATGTGTAATTAATTTTTGTATATGGTACAAGTATGTTTATTGTCAATATTATTGCTTATTATGATTGAAATACAAGCATTCGATCAGTAATAAGAAGGACTTAACACGCATGATATTGATCACCACTCAGTGATCAATCAATTGTGATTAGATCTCAGTCCTACAGGAGATCGGTCGCGACCCGAATAGCTCAGTGGTAACGTCTCTGACTGTGAAGCTGAGTGACACGGGATCGAATCCGTCAGGGAGCATCAGTTCCCTCAAGATTACAGGTACACCTTGCTGACGAGTGCCAAGTAGCACGAAACCCGGTTCCACGGTTTCCTGTTGACCACCTCCAACTACCATCTTAATATATAGTGCACGCAGTGTCGAGCCATCTAGACTAATGGTCACATTGCAACTTGATCGATAGCATTCGATGAGCATTAAAAAGGCTTGACACGCATGACATTGATCACCACCCAGTGATCAATCAATTGTGATACAAGTTAAAACTTATTTTAATACATTCATATGATGAATTTCTGCATTTCTCTCTTATCAAACAGATTATAATATAGCTGAGGAGCCCCGCGATAAGACGAAACGGCTGTCGAGTACTTCCAGGTTTTCCATGGTGGTCTAACTTCAATTGACTCATAATCTCAACTATGAAAATATTGAAATCTCCATAAAACCTCTTCTGATTGTATTATAGTCATTGAATTCGCTGTTTATTTTTAATTGACTGAAAGTAGTTAGCTAGAAAATTTGAGTTATAGGTTTTGTGCCAGCTAACATTCGTTACGAGGATGTAACAATAATATAAAGACAGATAGGCTTAAACATTCTGTGGTAATATTACAGATTACGAAACTGGGTAATGTAAGTCCTATTATTACAGATGGTATCAGTTCCAATAACGCAACAGGCATGCCTTGCTGAATGGTGCTGACTTAAAAGAAACCTAAATCCAGAGCCTACTGTTTAATATCTCCAATCAAATAACATGTTGGTTAACAAATGACAATTTAGTGTTTTAAATGTAGTGCTCATTATGAGGCCAGAAATTCCTAGGTTCCAGAAGTGATTGTGTCACGGATGTGCACTACCGTATAGTTTTATACTAGACAAAAAAACAGCGGTTTAACATGCTCAGTCTTCGTAATGGTTATCTATGGTCTCTGTGATATTAACTGTTAGGAAATATATTATTTCTCTAAAAATTCGACTCCAACTAGATAAAATTTTCGTTTTAACATTAACTATTCCGAAATTTCAAACCACTTATGTATCGTGAAATCAGAAGCCATAAAACTCTCATCACAAATGAAAGATTCTAAAGAGTATTTACTAAAAGAGAATGTTTATATACCAAATTTTCCCATATATCCCCCACTTGTTAAATCTAAAACTTAAACCTTTCATTTCCTGTTACTTTCTTAATAGTTTCGTCCTACTGTGGAACTCGTGGATACGCCCTGCTGAGGAGTCCCACAATAGGACGAAACGGCCGTCCAGTGCTTCCAGCTTTTCCATGGTGGTCTAGCGTCTATTGACTCATGATCTCAACTCTATAACATCAGGTAAATTAAACTTTAATTTCTAGTCTAATTGCCTTTGTTATTTATATGCTTGAAAAACTATTATGTCGATCTTTTTTTTTGAAAAGTTTATCTTTGCTTGTACAATATCCTATAAAACACTGAAAATAGTTCATTGGAGGTTTAGATCAATGAAGCTAAACCAAGTCGAGTGTGAAGCATTTGTCCACTGAAAACAATAGAACATGGTCGCACAATATCATGGATTGATTGGAGTTAGTCGTCAGCACTGTTAGATCCCTAGTAATTGGCTAAGTGTTCGTTTGTGAGACTTAATGGATCGTGTATGTGCATTGCTGATGAATACCATGCTAGGA